TAAAATTTATTAAATTTAAATCAAAATTTATCTAAAATTTATTAAATTTAAACTAAATTTTGCCTAAATTTTTTGTTAGAAAAAATTGAGTTTTTAAAACTAAAATTTTACGGGCCCCTGCCACGTACTAAGTAAAGCTGCCCAGATAATAAGTTTGCTGTAGTATAGTTGGCATGTATTTTCTCTTAATGCCGGGGCCAAAATTTTGGTCGATCTGCTGAATTTTGGTTGCTCTACTAATCAGTGTTATAAATTCAAAAAATTTTTATTGGAGCAAACACAAAAAAAATATACACAAAAAAGAAATTTATACGCGCATTATATATCGATATATGAAGAGCGCTGATATATGCGCAAATTTAAATCTATGTGCGCTGCGCCTACTGCGCGGTCCCTGCTACTTACGCTACGCCACTAAGCCACAATATATGACCACGTGATCTTGGTTTATTCTCTCGAGATTGATTATGCGGGCCAATCAAATTACAATACTAAGAATGAACCAACTTGAGTCAAATTTTGGTTCAAGTGAACGAGAAATTGAACCAATTCTGATAATCCTGAATTGGATTAACTTGGGTCAACTTGCACCAAACTCTGGTTCAAGAGAACTCGACTTGAACCAAATTCTGGTTCAAGTGAACCCAAATTGGGTTAACTCGTCCAAATTTTGGTTCAAATTAGGTTAACTTGAACCAAATTTAGATCCAAGTATACCAAATTGATTCTTAATATTGTAATTTGATTGGCCGTTAGTCGCGTGATATAGGTTTGTAACCAATCAATCTCAAGAGAAAATAAACAAATAAAAACGCTTTTAATCAAATATGATTTAAATATTTGAAAATTAAATTTAAAAAAATTACTTTGTATCACCAATGGTTTTCATCACCATATATGGTTTTAGGGGTCAGCTAAAATGGTCCAAATTTTAGGTTACACGAGGTTTTTAGGGGTTCTGAACATTTTTACTTAACACATCTGACTCCTGTTTCTTAGTCTCGTTTTAAACTGGTAATGATCATAGTGGTGATAAATAGCAAATCTCTAAATTTATTAATTATAGCTTTTAAAAAATATTCAAATAATTGATTCTGTTTGTATTTAAACCAGTTAATTGGAATTTTCTATTAGTCATAATAAACATATTAACAAAAGCACTCTATAATATATAGTAAGCAATTTGAAAATTTAAGTTTTATATAGGCAAATAACCATATAGTCTCTAGCAAAAAGCTTGATACTAAATTTTGTTCATATTACAATTGTTACATTAAATACCAATAGATAAATTGTTGTTAATGATATAAAGCCATATTAATCAACCTTCGGTGCAAGCGCGACTACAGTAAATTGAAGATTATTGGTATCTCTTTCTATGAACTTTTTAATTACTTTAACAGAGTCCTAGATTAAATAACAAGTAAATGTTAACAATTATAATTTGTGACCAAACTTCAGAACGAGTCGCCAGACATACCTTAACAAAATTGTTACATGGACCATGATTTATAGGAAAAGGTTTCCCTCCATCCAATTCGTAGATCGAACCATCTTTTTCGACAAGACATATAAAATGTAAATCTACTTTTTCGTCCTCTCCAGGTGCCTATATGTTAAGAAATATAAATTCACGCGTGAAGATAATCTAAAGAATGCTATTAAAGTTATGTAATATATATACCCTAGTCTGACCCATTCTCGCAGAGGATTGATGAGTATTAGCCAATTCCTCATCTTCCTCAAGACATTTGGCTCGCTCTTCGGGTGTCAAATCTTTGGTTTTATCCAGTAGGTGTTTAAGCGGACCATCCTCTAGAAAGATGATATGGTGAATATCTCGATGATACATGTGAATATGAATGGAAAAGCACAAAAAGATAGGTTTTAATTCATACCGACAGGAATGGAATCTCTATTGTTAGCCAAAGAATGTACTAAGGCAATTGTTCCACACGCGTTACCAATAGTTTGTTTATAAAACACGACATTAGAAGATATTTCCTGTCCACTCTCTTTAATACTTTCCACTTCAGCTTTACAGTAGTCCTTGTGAGCTTCTGAAATAGGAAAAAGAAGAAGAAAAGCTTTAATTGGTTGAGGAATCATTTGTAGAAGCTCTTCTTCAAGGCCTAAGTGTCCGTAATAAATAGACGAGGTTTGTTAATAATATGTACAGTCAGTAAAACCAGCGGATAAACCCCCTGTGGACCTACCAAAAACATCGGTATATGCCCATAATGGAGATAAACCAAGCTTATGAACATACTAAATAATGAAAAATATCAAATTTAGGCAATGCGTGTATTATTCGAACCAATTTGAAGTATAACCTTGCTATCACTTACATTGTTCATAACCTAATAACAAAAAATACTGAGCTTCTTGAAATATTGTCAGTAAAAACAAATAAAAAGGAAATAAATATGTACCTCTGGATTAGATTCTAAAGGAATCCACCTCAACTTTTTTTTAGTTTCTGCCATTGCTTACTACGCACGTAACAAAAAGTGAAGACCATGTGAAAATCTGGACTACTGTAGTTTTAATGAACCTACTTGTCACATGACTGTGGTTCGATATGATTGGCTAAATAATATCCAATCTTATCCGTTTTGTTACACCTGATCCTGTGCCGTGATTGGGTTAAAATCACGGGACTGCGGATTTTTTAAACTACCCCAAGAACACCTCCAAAAATCAGCCAATCAGATTTCGAGATCAGGTGTAACGTGAAATCAAAACAATCAA